CAACAAGAGAATATAGATACTCAAGGAGGCCAGAGGCATCTGATCCTCTGGAACTCATGTTACAGGCAGTTGTAAGCCACCTGATGTGTGTTCTGGGAATCTAACTTGGGTTCTCATGAAAACAGTATACTTCGTAACTGCTGAGCCATCTCTTTAGCCTTCTACATTTATTGTCTTATTACTTATTTATTATGTATACAATATTCTGTCTGTATGTACAACTTCAGACCAGAAGAGGGCACCAGATCTCATTATAGATGGTTAGGAGCCACTATGTGGTTGCTGGGAATTGAACTAAGGATCTCTGGAAGAGAAGACGGTGCTCTTAACCTCTAAGCTATCTTTCAAGAACCCTACATTTATTTTTAATTAATATTTTTTCTTAAAAATTTTTTATGTATGAGTGATTTGACTGCACGTATGCCTTAATACCACATGTATAGTGTGTCCACGGAGGCCAGGAACAGATGTTGGATCCTTTGGAACTAGAGTATTAGACAGTTGAAAGCTGACATGCGGGTACAGGGAATCAAACCCAGACCCTCTGGAAGAGCAGCCAGTGCTCTTAATTACTGAACCATCACTCTAGTCCCATACTCTTGCATACTTCATATGTTCTTTTCTCTTAGTAAGGTCTTCAGAAGGGGACATTAATGAAAAAGTAGTGTATATGTGTTTTTCAAAAACACAATTTGATTTTCATAGCTTTTGGAGGTTTGTGTCTGCAGGAAGTATTTGAACGCAGAATGATTTAGCCTGATGTATTACCTAAGATTTAGTGTAGTTTATTCAAGATGTACAGTTGTATAAAATTTCTGTTGATAAAATAGATTTTATTAATATAGAAATCCCACCACTAGTATTTAAAACATGCCGTTGTCAAATACCTCGATGCAAAATGAAACCGTTTTTCGTTTTGTTTTGTTGAGACAGAGTTTCTCTGTGTACCCCTGGCCGTCCTGGACTCGCTTTGTAGACCTGGCTGGACTCAAAACTCAAGATCTGCCTGTCTCTGCCACCTGGAGTGCTGGCATGTGCCACCATGACCAGCATGGAACCATTTTGACTCATGATGCAATTATCATATTCTTCTAAGCACATAGCTAATCATCTGTCATTAGCTTTGGAAATGTATTTAGGGATATAAGCACTCACTCAGCACAAGGTCTTTGGCTTGTCCTTTCTTCCTGATGGGGTGCAAGTTAACTGCTGGCACCTGAAGCACCTGGCTCACTCTATGTGGCTGATGAAGGTGGACTTTAGCTGCTTGGCCAACTGACCTCAAAGGTACAGGAGACATTTCAGATGACTTGGTTGATCTTTTTTCAGTTAAGCTCTTTGTCACTACAAGGTGAGAGAGAAGCGTCAGGCAACTGCAAAGGCAAGACTATTAGCATCAATAAGTAGTTGTTTATCTATTAAAAAAAATTGAAGACCCATTTTTATAAAAGAAATTTAAGCATAAAATATCTCTCTGAAGCTGCTATAGAATAAGCTGTTTGCTTCCTAAGTTTTTGAATCCATTACCAATCTCCGGAGGCCAAGTTCACACTCTCTCATCAGATAGACTGAAACATTCTAACTGGAACAACTCTGGCATGCCATTCTCCAGATGACAGCAGAACACATGGAAATCTAACTTACTACCTTCCTTCTCTATATGGCCCTCAGACCTCACAACTTTCCCTGCTCTCAGGAAAAAAGCTCTAGCAAGGCCTGTAGAGCCATAATGATCAACTTGCCTCCACCATTTATTTTTCCACTCTTAAAGGCCATAATCTTGAGATTTCTATCAAGTAAGCCGTTGCCTTGGTTGGCTCACTTTATAGCACTTGCTTCTTGCACCTTTCAGATCTACTTTCTCATAAACTCACGGAGCCTTCTAATACTGTACATTCTGCAATGACTATATTTGAACCCCAATTAGAGGGTATAGGAAAAAAAAAAAGCTGCTTTTATCACCTAAAATCAATATTGTGGTACAAAGCAAAAAAATTCCTCCTCACCTAGTCCTTTCAATCCTTGGTTAATTATTCAGGATGGTTTCACAAACAGGCTTCAAACACCACGATAAAGACAACAGAGAGATGTTTACCTGTGCCTGCACAGATGTAAATAGGTAGCGTATATGCTTTCACTGTGAATGCCTGAAAAGCATTTCAACTGATAACAAGAGACAGGGGGCATCTAGAAAGCTAAAAAGAGGTATTTGTGGGGAATAATATGACATGGCTTATCAACTAATTGAATTCAAGACGTTACCACATTTTGGTTAGAAATACGAAACAGCCCCTCCTGCCCCCCCGCCCTTGAGACAAGGTTTCTCTGTGTAGCCTTGGCTGCCCTGGACTCATTCTGTAGACTAGGCTGGCCTCAAACTCACAGAGATCTGTCTGCCTCTGCCTCTGTGAGTGCTGGAATTACAGGCATGTCCTACCATGCCTGGCCATTTCCCCTCTTTTTAAACTACTTTCATATTTATTTTTTTAGAGGTCTCACTACATCGTGCAGGCTGGCCTCAAATGTAGCTCAGTGGTTCTCAACTTTCCTAATGCTGCCACTCTTTAGTACAGCTTCTCATGCTGTGGGAAGCCCCAACCATAAAATTATTCTGTTGCTGTTTCATAACTGTAACTTTGTTGTTGTTATAATTGTAATGTAAATATCTGACATGGACCTCTGTGAAAGGGTCCTTTGACCCGCAAAGGGGTTGTAACCCACAAGCTGAGAACAGCTGATACAGCATAACACTGGTTTTTAAATTCATGATGCTTCTGTCTCAGTATCTCATGTGCTGGAATTATAGGCAGACACCACAGTAACAAACTCCTTGAAAAAAAAAACATATATATACACACATATATACATCTCTCTCTATCAATTATCTATCTATCTATCTATCTATCTATCTATCTATCTATCTATCTATCTATCTATCTATCTATCATTGAATGACACATGCTGAGAGAAAGGACAGGCTCAAGTCCTAAACCAGGAGGATACTGCAGAGAGGAACCATCCCTGGGGATGGCTAATCACCTCATAGCTCTGGTCAATGAATATATATAAGCACATTTCTTGACTTTTGTTTCACTTTATCTATACATTAAATACTGCTTCAGATAAGCACTTTCTTCTTTCCTCAGTTCTAGACCTAACTGTAAATAAACCCATCTCTCCTTATCAATCCCTCTTAGAAAAATGGAGAACACTGAACCCAAGGTTCTGATTCCATCTTAGAAAAATGGAGAACACTGAACCCAAGGTTCTGATTCCATCACCACTTCTGGCAATAAATCAATTTTTGACATCACTGACATCTTAACTACTACAGTTTGGGGAAAAACAAGCACTGAAGCTGTTCCAACAAGAGTTGATAGGAAATTACTCAACCTGAGATGTTAGCAACAATGCATTATAACACCTGAAACATTAGAAAAACAATTATGCATAAGAAATCATACAAAAATAAGGCCAATGAAAGGAATAGTTGTTCAGACATATTTCCAAGGCTAGTTTAGTTTGGTTTTGCTCATTTCAAAATAATAGCAAGTATCACACAACATGGTTTAATGTAATGAACAATGACAGACACACTCAGCGAAAGTACAGGAAGAAGGGACAGACACAGAGGTGCACGGTGTGTAAAAATAAACAGCTGTTGAATCAGACAAACCACTGTATAAGAACTACAGAGTTGGGCTGGAGAGATGGCTCAGAGGTTAAGGGCACTGCCTGCTCTTCCAGAGGTCCTGAGTTCAATTCCCAGCAACCACATGGTGGCTCACAACCATCTGTAAGAAGATCTAGTGTCTTCTTCTGGTGTGCAAGTGTATATGCAGATAGAACATTGTATACATAATAAGCTTTAACACTCAGACCTTTGTCTCCTATCACTTTCACGTGGCTAACATTACTCTTGACAAGCCATATGTAGTAAGGGTTCCCCAGATTCCCTCCAGATCTATAAACATCTGTTTATTTTTTAAAATGTCTATAGTTAATACTGCTTTAAAAAATATTTTAGGCATGTGGATATCCTCAAGTACTTGAATGTGGCATGGGCCTCTAGGCTTGTACAGCCTGGCCGTTCCCAGCACTGCAAAAGCTTCTGTCCCACAGTGGATTTTGCAGTGGCCTAAAGTGTTTACTGCACATTCCTGCTGAGGAGCTGCAGAGCTCTAGAAGTTCAGGGCCTAGAATTCCCTTGGGTCAGTTTGAGCGCTCAGCCTGTCTGCAGTGGAGCTGAGAACACTCCCTTGCCTGTAGTGGCATGCCGAGGGCCACTGCTTTCCTGAGAGCTCCTAATAAAAGCAACTGCGTGCATGTTGCATGAGCAGGGTCCAAAAAAAAAAATCAAGTACCTTCCTTACACATATGTCTATATACTGCACATGTGTGTTTGTGTGTGAGAGGCCAAAACCAGAAGAGGGCACTGGATCCCCTGGGACTGGAGTTAAAAATAGCAGTCAGTGGTTATATGCTGGGAACCCAGGTCCTCAGAAGAGCAGCAAGTACCTTTAACCACTGAGCTACCTCTCTAGTTTCCAGTTATTTTGGAGATGGGGTCATAATTTCAGGCCGCAAAGGCAGGCCTAACAAAATTCAGCTACGTAGCTGACACTGACCTTTGAATTTTTGATCCTCCTGACTCTACCACACCATTCTTGGCTATATATGGTACTGGGGATAGGACCCAGCGTTCATATGTGCTGGACAAGCACCTTGAAAACCAAACTACACTACACCCTCAGCCCAAAGATGTACTACTTTCAGCAATAAAACTCTCTCTAATATACATTAAAAAGGCCATATAATGTTCATTTCACGCATACTCAGATTTGAGTTTCTTTCACTATATTAAGAGCTGAAACATCACTGTAGAAATACCTTTTAGGTGCATTATCTATTACTACACGAATTCAACATTAGATACTACGGAGATGGTTGTTAGAAATGACAATTTTTAAATTTTGAGGCAGGGTCTTGATATATAGCCCAGGCTGGTCTTGAGCTTGTAATCTTCCCACTGGAGCCTCTAGGGTGCTAGAATTTGCATTTTTGTTTTCTTTCTTCTAAATTTAAAAAAAAAAAAAAAGAAAGAAAGAAAAAACAGGGCTTCTTTGTTTTAGTCCTGGCTGTCCTAGAACTCACTCTGTAGACCAGGCCAACCTTGAACTTAAGAGAGCTGCCTGCCTCTGCCTCCTGAGTGCTGGGATTAAAGGTGTGTGCCACTACCACCTGGCATCTTCTAAAATGTCTAAAAAATACTTTGAGATAGAGCCATGAGGCAGAAGCAGGTGGATCACTGTGAGTGAGTTCCAGCTCAGCTGCTTCCAAAACATAACACAGCTAGAGCTACACAGTGGGGTTTTGTTATGTTGTACAGTCTGTTCTCCCACTTCTGTGCTCAAGTGAGCCTCCTGCCTTTTGGACTACAGAGCGTGTCACTACATTAAGCTAACGATGTCTACAGAGCACGTATTAAGGGTGTTGCTGCCATATGGGACACTCTCAATTCTTACTGTTTTATTAATTTTCTTAAAATCAAAGACTTCCTAAAAAATTAGAAGAGATAAAACATATTCCAACATAATCCTAACTCTGGCCAAAGTTTCAGGGTTTTTTCTTTTTTATTTAAATTTTTTTTTTTAAAGTCAGAGTTTCACTGTGTAGTCTTGGCTACCCTGAAACCTACTATGTTGCCTAGATGGGCCTGGAACTCCCAGAATCTGCCAGTCTCTGCCTTCTGAATGATGGGATCAAAGGTATGAAACATCACAGCTAACATTTTTACATTTTTGAGAACAGGTGAGAATGAAACTTGGCTCAGTGGTAACAAATGAGATTCAAACTCTGCCTCCACCCATTAGTGTCAGTGCAAGCACATGCCATTGTTTTTCTTCAGTAGAAGCATTCAATATATATATATATTTTTGATAATAGCCCCCCAAGGTCTGAATTATGTAGCCCAGGCTGGCCATGAACATACTATCCTCTTGCCTCTGTCTCTCAAGTTCTGATAATATCAGAGTGCACCTATGAGGGCTAGAGTTATTTATTTATTTATAAAGATTTGTTTATTTATTTTATGAACACTCTACCTGCATGTATACCTGCATTCCAGAAGAAGATATCATACCACATTATAGACAGTTGTGAGCCACCATATGGTTGCTGGGAATTGACCTCCGGAAGAGCTGAAGTGCTCTTTACCTCGGAGCCATCGCTCCTGTCCTACTAAAGTTATTTTTTAAGTTTAAATTACTGTGCTTAAGAGATCTACAAAACACAACTGCCTCTAACCTGTAAGCCCCACTTGCCCAAGGACAGGTACCTTTCTGGAATGCTGGGGGCTGTTGTTCATGTGAGATAACAAACCATGTGTTTTTGCTTCTATAAACAAGGTTGTTTGTCCCAACTGCACAAAAAGTGCTTGCTCACATAGAGGTGGGAGCTACCTTGGTAGAAAGTACAAGGCGAGTCTAGAACAGCCAAGGCTACAGAGAAACCCTGTCTCAAAAACCAAACCAAAACCAAAACCAAAACAACAACAACAAAAGATAGCACTGGCCAGGGGATGCTTGGGGGCACAGGACATACGAAGCAGAGCAGCAGTGGGCAGAGTGGACTGTGGGAGGCATCGGCAGGAAGAAGAAAATCTCTTTCACAGTGTCATGATATGACTACTTTTTCATGTATCTTACTGGTAAATCACTGCTGGTGTTTTTTTTTTTTTTCTTTTTTTCTTTTTAAAATTTCTTTATTTTATGTATACAAGTGTTCTCTCTGCATTTACACCTGCCAGAAGAGGGAATCAGTTCACATTATAGATGGTTGTAAGCCACCATGTGGTTGCCGGTAATTGAACTTATAACCTTTGGAAGAGCAGACAGTGCTCTTAACCACTGAGCCATCTCTCCAGCCCCCCGCTGCTGGTGTTTTAACGAAAATACCTAAGCTTTCTAGTTGGTAACTGATTGTGCCTAGTGCCGTTGTCACTTTTCACATAGAGACAAGGGCAACCATGTTCTCAAATAGTATTTTCTATAATGTTCCAATTAAAAACAATATTCCTATTTTATGTGTATGGGTGTTTTGTCTGCATGTATGTTTGTGCACCATGTATTGGTAAGTATTTGCCCATGGGGTCTAGAAGAGGATCTTCTGGAATTGGTGTTTCAGTTAGTTGTGAGGTATCATATGGGCATTGGACACTGAACTCAGGTCCTGTGAGAACTGCAGCACTCTTAACAGCTGAGCTAGCTCTCTAGTGACTGTGTACCCTCTCCCCATTAAAAAAAAAAAAGAAAAAAAAAAGAAAAAAAAAAGAAAAAAAAAGTATTAATGCACCCATTTCTTTTTTTTTGGTGAGACAGGATTTCTCTGTGTAGTTCCGACTATCCTGGAACTCACTCTGTAGACCAGGCTGGCCTCAAACTCAGAGATCCGCTTAACTCCGCCACCCAAGTGTGCTACCACCAATGCTCTAATTTTAAAAACCTAATTATAAAGCCTTTAAAAAAAGAATGGTTCTTCCTCTTCCTTCCTACAGAGTCCTATAAGGGCTGGATGGGACTCCGCATCTCATTAACAGACCAGGCTGCTGGAATATAGCAGTCATCTTTTGCAAATGAAATTAGCATTAATTCTGAAGAACAAAATTTCTACTTCGCTGTGCTCACCAGTGTGATGCAAAGGAAAACTACTCACAGGTACCATATGCAGGCTCCCACTGCACTGACATCATCTGGAACTTTTCCTCATCTGTGTCTATGTCCAGACTAGAAAGATACTGTTTCACTTTCCTTGCCATTTGGGCATCTTCATACAGCTTCTTGGCGTTCAACAGTGAGCTGCGTCGTGCTCTTTTCTTATGAGCACCTCCCTGAACGTCCAGCATGTTTGAATTTGTGCTGCCTTGACTTAATGACCTGTAAGAAGACAGAAACTGCAATGAGAGCCTGTAAAGATGAGAATTAAGCATGAAAGAATGAAGATTCAAAGATTTTTTTTTCTGTTAATGCTATTGCATGCTGATGTAAATGAGTTAAAAGATGAAGAGCATTAATGCAAAGTAATTTGGCACAGATGGCAATGTTCTCAACTAAGAACAAGATCTGGAACAACACTGGATTCAAAAGAGTAAGATACCATTTCCTCCCTGAGTAACTTACCCCACTTCATCTGTGTGTGCCTATGTAACCCATGGAGCAACTGTGCCAACAAAAGCTTTCCTCTTGTCCTTTTAGACCATCCACACTCTAAGATGTGGTTAATTTGTCCTCAGTCCTTCAGAAAGGGCAAACAAAGCAGCTTTGCTACTTGAACTGCTTACAATATGCTTTTAAAGCACCATTCTGTGACAGCAGGGTCACTTTAAACATAGTGACCAATTTTACCAGTAACCATATTTTGACCAAAAAATTAAAACAGAACCAAGATAATATTTGAAAGTAATATCTCAATCCAGCATAGTCAAAGATCTGAAAAGCAGTAAAGAAAATTGCTCCTGTCTCTGCAGGTACAATGCGGTCAGACATTACTTGTGTTGCTGAGATTCTGCCTTTGCAATACTGAACATGACTGAACTTCAAATTGGGTCTTAGAAATAAGTACTATCCAAATAAGCTACAACTTCATCCAACTCTACCTTTTCTGTCAAGCCTGCTTATATGAGGCACATCTAGAACCAACAAAAGATAGCAACTGCAATGAGGCTGGTCCTGTCTAACAAGCTAGCAAATTCAGTGCTTGTTTATTACTGTGCATGTGCTGAGGTGGATATACGCTACAGCAAGTCTGTGAAGGTCTGAGGAATGGTTCTCTCCTCCTACCTTTACATGGACTGTAGGTATCACTCATGAGTTCAGGTTTGCATGGCTCAAATAATCTGTATTATTAAAGTAAGAGTCTCTATTTTCAATTTTAGCATCATATTTACATAAAATATAAAACACAGACCATAAACGTGCAACTTGTTCTTCAATGCTCACATACCTGACTTAAAATAGACACCAAATCTTAATTTCATTGTAAATCATATACAGAACTGAAAAATTGTTAATAGTACTTTTCTGTCACATTTTAAAGACATTTGAAGGTTCCCAGGGGAGGGGAAGAATGGAGGCAAAGTACAGTAACACATGCGTGAAAATGTCATAAAGAAACCTATTATAATGTATGTTGTTGAGATAAAAAAAAAGCCAAACCAAACCAATTCTAAAAAAGAGGAAGGAAATAGATAGTTATGCCTTACACTTGATGGCAACTAATTCTCTATATATATACACATATAAAATCATTTATTTCTTTACTTATTTCTTTCTCTTTCTCTCTCTTTTTTCTCTCTCTTTTTTCTCTCTTTCTTTCTTTCTTTCTTTCTTTCTTTCTTTCTTTCTTTCTTTCTTTCTTTCTTTCTTTCTTTCTTTCTTTCTTTCTTTCTTTCTTTCTTTCTTTCTTTCTTTCTTTCTTTCTTTCTTCTTCAAGACAAGGTTTCTCTGTGTAGCTCTGGCTGTCCTTGAACACAGATCTGACTGCCCCTGCCTCCAGAGTGTTGGGATTAAAGGTGTGTGCTACCACCTCCTGCCATATTGACAGCACATTTTAGTTGCAGGTCAGGCAGAAATGATGATGTGGCTATGAGTGACACATGGAAAAGACCACAAAATTTGCAGAATGGGTTGGAAGAAAAATCTTTCAACCAGTGAATTACCCTTTAATCTTTAAGAAGCACTTGAGTAAAGAGAGTGAAGCCTGAAAATTTTGGTAAATATCCAACAATGTAAAGGGGAGAGAGACTAATTCTGTGCTGAGCCAGGCTACACACCCAAAGGGTGAGCTTTGCCTTCTTTTATGGTTTATCTTTAAGTGATGGATGACCATGATACCAGTGGTACAGAGGGTAGTACTGTGCATACTACATACGAGTAGGGGCAAGGGGCAGGCACTAGTGATTCTAAAAGTGACCTGGAAGATTGAAATTCTGAACATGAAGTTCTAGAAAAGATCTAAACCAATTTACTTTCCTTATATTTTCCTTTTAATGAATGTACAAGGATGTTTATGTGAGGAAAATGTAAAGCTAAGTCCAGACCCATGAGAAGCATTTCAGTGAGCTCAGACAAACAAGGCACTGCACTGGCTTTTCTTGGTACACAAGACAACACATCTTACAATGTGGCGACTATTATCATTGTGTGAGTATGCATGTGTGTGCTTCAGTGCATCTGTGAAGGCCACAGGACAGCTGTGTGAAATTGGTTCTCTCATACCTTCTGTGGATTCCAGGTACTGAACCAACAGTGAAACGAAGCCTTAACATTGAGAAGCAAATTTCAATGCTAGTATTTAATAATTTTATCTTAGTTGTTATCCAAAATAAAAAAAAGCCAGCTTGTAAACAAACCTAGGATAACAAAGGTCCAATGCATGAGACTGACAGATGACAATAAAGCATCTTCTGAACTACTTCCAAAGCATCAACTACTGATGTGAAAAAACAAAAAACAAAAACAAACAAACAAAAAACCCCCAAACACCTGCTATCTGCAAGCCCCAAATGCTACAGACCCAACACCCCAGCTGAACAGTGGCTAAGTAGCTCAGTCACTACATCATCATAAGATGTCCTGCTGAAGTAGTAATGCCATCAATTTCTACTTCCAGTAAGAAGAACCAGCAAAGACCAAGACACAAATATATGACATAGAAGAAAACACATGAGGCACACACCAGAGGAAGAAAGTCAAGTTCACCAAATGAAAAACAAGACCACAAATAAGACTCAAAGACAGGGCTCAAAAAATTCTTACATGTAGCATAAGTATCTAACCTCACAGTCCATTTGTTTTAAACATCAAAATTCTATGTATGCAATTCTATGCACCTATAGTACTAACTCTTTCCTCATTTAAAATGAAAGGTCTAGGGAAATACTGTACAAGATCTTTAACTGTTGGTGGCTCTAAACAGATGGCTAGCAAGGCAGAATTAAGAGACCAGAACCTTCTTTAACCAAAAAAGGCTGGGCAGCTGAGAACCTTTAGAGAGACATAGGAATCTTTTTATATAAAGGTGGTAGAAATTTAAAGTAAATTTCAATCTATGCTTTGAGTTTCAGGCATTCAGTGGATCTGATAGAGGATGAAAAAAATCTATTCACATTTACAGTACAGACTGAATAAAGATGCCTCTGCAAAACTAATGAAAATGCAACCCTTATAAACAGATCTTTTATAGTTTAACATGTTTACTTTCATAAAATATGGCATTGAATTAGAGAAAGTGTTGTCAGCTTTTAAAGCTGACCATTTAGGTTTGGACACACCATTAGTGGCTATGTAAGACTGGGCAAGTTACCTTTCCCATCTGCACCACAGGCATAACAGATCTGTTCATAGGGCAATGGGAGACTTTAAAAGGTTATTCATTTAGAGAGCTTGCAGCAATGTAGAGCACACAGGAAGTATGCAGCAAATATTCATTATCATCATCTACATCTCACAAATCTGTTAAGTTTAAATCTAAAAAGTAATTATAGAATTATAATTATAATTATAATTATAGTAATTATAGAATGTCAATAATGGAAAAAGAAAACAAAGGAAACCAAAACCAACAAAATGCTAGTTCCATCACTATTGTCACCTTGTTAGCAAAAGGCATTTGCCAGAATGTAGGCTGACGGAGTTAATAGAAGGCATGCTATCTGATTTGCGTGCATTAATGGAAAGGATGTAGCACATGTTAAGAGTTGCACAACTTTCATTCCAGTTGCACATTTCCCCACTTACCCCAGACTCCGCCACCTCTTCTTCCTGTAAGCAAGAGCCACAAACATTGAAGCATGTGTTTGAATAGGAAAGCACAGAAAAAAGACAACAGATGAGAGTCAGAGAATTTATGCAGACAGAATAGAACAGAAAAATTTACCAGGAAAAAAAAAATTATAGCTTAACAGTAAAAAATGGCTTTAATGAAATGAAGAAATGGGTAGGGCACAATGAGTCCTGAAGGGCAAACTCCTCTACAACATCTACTTTAGAACATGTTTTAGATCAACTGTATTTCTATTAACTCAACCACCCATTAGTTGGTTTTTGTTTGTTTGTTTTCAAGACAAGGTTTCCCTGTGTAGCCCTGGTTGTCCTGGAACTCACTCTGTACACTAGACTGGCCTTGAACTCAGAAATCTGCCTACCTCTGCCTTTCCACTGCTGGGATCAAAGGTGTGAACCACCACTACCTGGCATTATAAGTTGATGTTATTAAGCAGCTTAGGGAATGCTATATGTTCATTGCAAACTTTGGTTTTGGAAGTGTAGGGACTGGTCTACCTCCCGGTAGAATGCTCAAAGAACAGAGTTTCTATACACTTTTGGAGCCAACTCATTTAAGTGACACAAAAATTATAACAAACATACAGATATATACATTCATTTTTACGTAGAGAAATTTCTCTGATGAAGCTTTGCAAGAAAAATTGGCTAGCAAATACAATTTAAAATGAAAATAAAAACACATCAAAGCATGGGTGGTGGTGTGTACCTCTTCTATGACTTGGGAGGAGGGATTCCAGGCGAGTCTAGAAATACAATGAGACCCTAATTATTTAAGTATTGGTTGAGAAAACCAAATCAGAACCACCATAAATGTATTTATATCCCCATACACTTTCTATTCAATCCTGGTTATAGCCAGGATTATTAATATTAATCAGTCACTTTTCTTTTTAGTTGCGTGTTTGTGTGCATGTGGGTACACGTGCACATGTGTGTAAGGCAGAGGTAAACCACTGGTGCTATCACTAAGGTGTCATAAACTTTTTTTTTAAAGACAGGATTCTCTTCATTGGCTAGAATGGCTGGCCAGTGAGGTCCAAGGATCTACCTGTGTCTTTCTTTTTCTCCCCAGTGCTGGAATTACAAACACAGCAACAAGCCTGTCTTTTTTTACAAGGATGGTGCTGGGGACTGAACTCAAGTCCTCAAGCTTTCGTTGCAAGCACTTTACTGAGTGAGCTCTCTTGGTCCTCTTGTTAATTCTGAAGTGCAGCTGCCACCCTAGTCATGATCAACTAATTTGACAGGGTAACTAATTTATTATGGCTTCAGGCACTAGAATGAAAACATGCATGAGTGAATGGAGGTTCATAAGACAATAGACAATGGAAGGTCCACTGTTATCAGGACATTCAACATTCAACAAAAACAAAAGCAGACAACAGCCTCCTCCAGGTGTGCTTTGGTCCCTGGTTCTTTTTGGTTTTTGCTTCCACATTTTGGAGAAGTGACATCTCATTACATTACCAAGAGAAAGAAAAGAGATGGGAAGAGATTTGGTACTCCTTTCCCTACTCTGGGAATCTCTAAACTACAGCAGAGAGGAAATCATCTACAAAAGAACACGACTGCTCCACAATGATATAAGTGAAACAAACTCAATCTAACACATACAGATTACAAAGTATCAAGTATTTTTACTTTCTTAGAATGTATGTATTTTAAAATCACAGCAATTGTGTATACGTAAAATTATTTTATTTTTAATGCCTTCTTTGGAGAGGTCCAAAAAGAAAATGTAATGTCTAGTTACATGCTGAAGATTATAAAATTACTGGGAATGGCTTAACAACTTTTTCTATAAACTCTATACATAAATCTATAGTAGCCTTTATAGTACACAAAGGATTAAATTAAAAAATCATTCTCATTTTGGTTGTGGCAGTGTACGCCTTTAGTACCAGCAGTTGGAAGGTTAGAGGAAAGATCATGGATTCTAGACCAGCCTTTGCTACAAAATGAGTCTAAAAGTATTCTCAGATGAAATCAAAAGATAAATCAAACTCTAATCAAGATGAAGCATGGCTAAAAACTCTTTCGGGGAAAGAGTTTACATGCAACCAAACAGCTACAGTGTAACTGTAACTTTTGGAAAAGAAATGTTTTAAAAGAGTGAAGTACCAGTTAGATGTGCTAGGACTTTACTTTCTTTTCTTTTCTCTTTTGGTTTTTCTAGACAGGGTTTCTATGTGTAGCCTTGGCTGTCCTGGACTTGATTTGTACACTAGGCTGGTCTCGAACTCACAGAGATCCACCTGCCTCTGCCTCCCAGAGTGCTGGGATCACAGGTGTGTGCCACCATGCCCAGGCTAGGACTTTAAAGCACTCAGATGATTTCAGGGATCTCACCATTCTTATGTTTGTTTGTTGGTACTTTATATAACAACCACACAGAACTATTTGTTTAGTCAGAAACAGTAATTGGAAAACTAGAGCTTAAGTCTTAACAAGTTACATAGTTACATCCTGGAGGGATGGCCTGGCAGTTAAGAGCATTGACTGCTCTTGCCAGAGGACCTGGATTCAATTCTCAGCACCCACATGGTGACTCACAGCCATCTGTAACTCTAGTTCTAGAGGAACCAATACCCTCTTCTGGACTCTGCAAGCATTGCACGCATGTGATATACACACACACAGGCAGGCAAACATACATAAAATAAAAAACAAAACAAAACAAAACAAAACTGCTTGAGCTTCAATTTCTTCAGATGTAAAGGGAAGCTGAATATTGCTTACCTGTTAGGATTACTGTAATAAAAGACTACTGGAGACTGCTGTGTGCAAAACACTTAGCATGGAGCAGACATCATTATCTCACCACCCTCGATACCACTTTAACAGGATTTCCAAGCCATACCTCTGTCGGAACATCATGGCAGGGTCCATGTTAGCAGAAGTCATTCGAACAATATGACGAATTTCCTTGGCAATCATTCTTAGTTTCTCGAAGTTTACTAAGCCATCTACTTTGGAGTCATTTCCTATGAAACACAATTTTTAAACTTCCATAATTACAATTTTATCTCCAAGTAGCAGAAGTCCAGTTATTACTCCTAAGTACAAATAGGTTTTTCTTTATCAAAGCGTCCCTCTTCCTCACTTTTCAAAAAACTTGATAAATTCATAGACAACTCAGCCTTGATCCCAGGAAATGAATTTCTGAGAAGAGCTCTGTTTCCCCTGGGAATAAGTCTGAATACAGAAAGTGACTGACTTTCCTTGGCTGTTAAAAACAGGTACACACACAGATTACACAGCACATGGTCCCCTATCGGACATGGTTTGCTGTTTTGGAAGGAAGGTACAGCATCTGAAAACTTAGGCTAGCCAGGTGACAAGGGCACTGCTGGGCCTACCTACTGACCAATAATGAATACAGCTTACAGCTTCTTTTGATTTATAATTCTTAAAAATTTTAAAATAAGTAACAACTATTTAAGAAGTAGCAAATATCCTCACAGGAGTAAATAGTGGGAGATTAAATAATACTGGATTTCTTTCTCAAATGGCAAAAATTAAATTAAAATTAGGTAGTTGCACTAAAGCAGGGCACTCTCTGGCCTGGCGCTTTTTCTCTCTCAGAATCTGAATTTGTCACTGTGACTAATCATTAGTATAAAAGTAACTGTTTGTAAGCTTTTATTTTATAACTTTGAAAACTGTCAACTTATTGAAGAGATTAGTTATGAGATCAGATGAAGCCCACTTACAGGTTTACCTAGTCCAAATCATCAGGGGGAAAAAAATCATTGTTCAAAGGTCAGTCTGTCTGACCATGTAGCATTTAACTACACCTTTCTGTAACTGTTAGTGAAATCTAATTTTTCTAACATGAAAGGCCCAGAAGCCAAATTTGAGAGCTATATGGGTCTAGAAAACATCCTTTTCATAGTACATTGGTCACAGGAATAGCTCATGGCTGGAAACAAAACAATGCCAAAACCATGCTCAAGTCAGATCAATGTTGTGAGAGTATGTCAGAAGCCTGAGGGGATCTTTTCTTATGTGATGATGATGATGAAATTCTGAGGCAGGAGGACAAAGCAACTAGGATACTCTGCCTGCTGATGACAATTAGCAAAGGCAGACTGGACAGGGAGCTGAATAGAGTCCTTCTGTGTCCTTATTTTAACTAACTAACTAACTAACTAACTAACTAACTAACTAACTAACTAACTAACTAACTAACTAACTAACTAACTACCTAACCATCCATCCATCCATCCATCCATCCATCCATCCATCTATCTATCTATCTATCTATCTATCTATCTATCTATCTATCTATCTATCTATCTATCTATCTATCTATCTGTTCCAAGACAGGGATTCCCTGTGTAGTCTTGCCTGTTCTGGAACTCACAGAGATCTGCCAGCCTCTGTCTTCTAAGTGCTGGAATCAAAGGCATGAGCCATCACTGCACGGCTCCCTTCTGTGTTTTGAAGTAAGAAGAACAAAAGAAAGTGAAATCTAATGAAAGCTCAATGCGTTCCTTTGGGATTCTGACTATTCTGGGGCTAAGGATGAACCAAATATTAACTGGAATAAGCCTAAAAAAATGAAATAAAATCATTTGGGATTAGTAACAGCCCTAACTGAGCAAGGTTTAATCTTTTTTTGGAATAACAGAATGTCATAAACTTCAGATTTTTAAAATAAATTTCCCACTATTCTGTAATAAATAAACACATAAATAATGTAGACCAAGAGAAAATGAACATGAATGTGACAAGATATAAAGATCCAGAAAAAGATCCTGAGAGGACTCAGACCAGAGTAATCACAGAGAAGCTTTAAAATAACTATGCTAAACATGTTAAAAGATACAAAACAACACTACTAATTTCTTTTTAAAGGTTCACTTATTATGTATACAGTGTTCTGCCTGCATGTACTCCTGTGTGCCAGAAGAGTGCACCAGATCTCATTATAGATGGCTGTGAGCACCGTGTCGGTGCTGGGAATTGAACACAGGACCTCTGGAAGAGCAGCCAGTGCTCTTTAGCTCTGAGCCATCTCTCCAGCCCACAACATTACTATCTTTAACAGAGAATATGAAACGAAACAAACAAAAGAAATAGTAAAACTGAAAAGCAATAAACTAGATTAGGAATTCAGCAACAGTTTAAGTTGATCTAGACACAGCTGAAGAGAAGGACTGGCAATAAGAATGACAATACCCAGAGTATAGGAATGCAACAAGAAAAACACTACAGGAAGAGGTAGGCTACAGAGGAAAATGGGTCAGGTGAGACAAAAGTAAGATCAGGGTCCCAGAACTGATGTCAGAAAAGGACAAATAAAAAAACTAATTATACGGACTGTTCCAATACAGAAGGAAAATATCTATTTCAATATGTCCTATAAATGTAAATCAGAATTAAAATGAAACAAAATTACAAACCTCACACCTTATAAAAGGTAGCAAAACAGAAAAACTTGAGCTAAAGAGAAGTCAAAGGTCACAACTACAGCTATCAGCAGAGTGATAATAGTGGAAAGAAAGAACAGTAAGACTAAGGGTGATATCTTTAGTGACAATGGAAGCCAAAAGACAATGGACGCTACTTAAAAATGCTAAAGAAAAACAACTGCCAATCCAAACTACATTTCTGAAACTGAAGTTTTGGCCTTTCAGATGAAGAAAAATTGAGATCTACATCCCTTAAAGGGAATTAAGGTGTCTGACGCACCAAACAAAATCAAACTCCTAAACAAGTAACCAACAAAGCCCTCAAAACCACTAAGTACCAGCTACGCAGACACTAGAAATATAAGATGAAGTAAACAGCAGCAAGCACAAATAGACACACATGACATTAAGCAGCGATTTTAGTAACCAACAGTAAAACACCGCAGGACTGACAGCTCAATGGGTGAATAAAAACTGGGGGGTGAGAAAACGAAACTTGAGTAGCCCAAGTTTCTCACATGGCCTGAAATAAAGTCACACTAATGAATACTAGCAAATACACTTCCATGCTGTATCCTCTGGTGTAACACTAAAAGAATGGCAAAACAGTATGTCATTACTAAGGGAACAGAATAGGAAAAATACCATCACCACAGAAAAGTTAATGCTCGTAGACTGTAAACAAACTGTAAATGTAAAAGATTTAAAAAAATGCAGGCTTTTTTTTTTATCTAAAAACTTCTACTCATCAAAAAATAACTTTGTAAGAGTAAAAGGACAAATTATTCTACACTAGGGATGTAAAAGAGAACTTTTGTAGGAATATTAAACAAAAAAGGAAACCTAATACAAAATGAGCAAGGAATTCAAACTGGTAACTGACAAGAGTTATAGCATACAGACAATGTTCAGACTCCTTCATAACCCTAGAAACACAAATTATAACCATGTCAAGATAGAAGTACATACTTATTGTAATGTGTAAAAACAAAGAGACTAAATTTAACAGATAATGGTAAGGATGAGTGTGAGACTATCCTCAGTGCTAGAACGACTTCACTTGACACTGCCACACCATTTTTTTTAAGCTTCTACTCAGAATATATTGCACACTCATTAAGAATACACCTGCCTAAAGAGTGTGAACAGAGAATGAACAACAGTCTTTACAGCAAGCCAATAAAAGAAACTACTTAAAACCCATGAACCAGAATGAATTACTCTACAGCACTAAGACAAGGGAACACTACACTAAGCAGCTTTGGAAAACAGCAAAGAATCTCCCTAATCCAGTGTTGACCAAAATAAGCCAGAAATCACATCAAACTAAAGAAAACAAACATTTTGAGAACTTGCTTGTCTAAACTTCAAGAACAACTGAGACTAAACTTTGGCATTAGAAATCAGGATAGTAGTCACCTTTGGGGAGAGGAAGACGGGAATAGTTGGGAGCGGGCAGGAGCAAGCTTCTAGGAAACGGAAAATGCCTAATTTTTGCCCATATAATTGATTATGCTGTCAAATTTTATTACTTGTTCATTTGTTTTAGACAGTTTTATTTATGTGAGATTCCAATTAAAAAAAATCCACAGGAAAAAATATTACTAAGCTTAAGCAAATACAAGGCTGGATGTGTCTGGTACATGCCTGAGTGCTAGGGAGGTGGAGAAAGGAAGATCAGGCACTTGGGCTGTGGAGAGACCCATTTCGAACAAATACACCACAGGATATCAAGTGTCAGCAAATAGTTTTATCTTAGTGTCAAGTTTATAAATTTAACACTTTAATTTGTTACTGTCAACAATATGGCTTTGGATGTCATAAATTCTCTGCATTTAACTGTATAAAGATTTAGTGACATAATTATATTGAAATAATAATACATTACTATGCTTAAGCTAATGCTAAACATGGTAATTTTCAAATGACTTTCAGATACCTTCATGAAGAAATGTCATATCTTTCTTGACAACAGGGAAGAGTGGAATAATTGGAGGCTGCATGCTTTGACTACTAAGAATATTTCGGTATTTTGCCATGTTTCTAGATGGATCAAAAAGGTCTTGTAGATCTTGAAGATGTTTCTCATATTTGCTTGGTAACTTTTCCCAAGTGCCTCTAAGTCGTGCTACAGGTGCCAGGTTCAAGCCACTGTCAAAATGAGAATAAAAACATTAAGAATGGACTTAGAGGAAAAGGTAGATTCAGGTCAATAAAGTGTATAACCAAGATCAACAGGGGGAAATACAGTACCCATTTTTATACTTTGAAACAAAAAAGAACTAGAAAAAAAAAAAAAGGGATCACTTAATTTTAAAACAGAAAACATCTCTTCCAGAGGAACTCTATAGTAAATTTTTTTATACTTTGCATGTAAGAAATACATGTAATAATCACATAAAAATTAAAGAGGAACATGATTACCACAATGTTGCTCTTCATCAACTAAGTTACACAACATCAACTTGAAAACGATTTAAATGATGCCACGAAACACCTGATCAATAACTGACTGAGGAAGAGGTTTTTTTTTTTTTTTTTTTTTTTTTTAGGTGGGGGGAGGTTGGTTTTTGAGACAAGATTTCTCTGTGTAGCCTTGGCTGTCCTGGACTCGCTTCATAGATCAGGCTGGTCTCAAACTCATACAGATCTGCCTGCCTTTGCCTTCCCAAATGCTGGGATTATAGGCGTGCACCATTATGCCCGACAATAGCCCATTTTTCAATCCAAGGATTACATTATGTTTGATTGGAGTAATACTGGAAACTATTATGAACCAAATTATGCAGGGATCACAACTGTAACTATTTAATGTACAAATGCCAGGAAACAAGCAACAGATAAGGTAAAGAAACATGTAAATGGAAAGAAAGTACATCTTTATCATTATTTGAAAGAAACAAGAAAATGAGATTATACAACTTACTGCCCCCCCCCAAATATTAACTCAAAACCATAACGAAAATAATGCTGTACCATGCCAGTATATGGAACTGATCCGTATGAACAGTAGACCACTCAGCAGAAACAACACATCGGCAAGACAACATAAAAATGCCATTCAAATAACATACACTGAACATTTAAAGAAATGTTCAAGACTTTTACAAACAAAGCTACAAATGTCACAGAGAGAAAAAGAATTTCAGCAGTGTTTTGGGGTAAAGGAGCCATTGCTAAATAAATCTATGTGTTCTGTGTAATCTCAATGGAAAATAATTCTAAGACTTTTAGGACAACTAGATGAACTGACTCTAAAGCTTGAATCAAACATGCCAGCAATAGCCAGAGAAAGGACAAGAAGAAGAACAAAGAGCTTGTCTAGTTTTTGTGAGAACTCAAGACCTTTAAAGCATTAAAGCTCTAGCAACTATAGTTAAATTACTAGGAGGGGGTGCAGAAACAGAACCAAGATATATATGGGGTTTTAGCACAGGAACCCACAACTGGACAGTGTGTGGAGCAAGAGACTTTGGAACACTTGGTCCTAAATGGGATGCCTTCATCATACTCCTCCTGTTAGGGAATCAGGGTTCTATGTGATGGAGGAGATGGAAAGCTTGCAAAAGCCAGAGGGATGATGACTCCAAGGAAACAGCATCTTCCAGATACATTACTGATACACACAGGTATTCAGAGCCTGTAGAAGTTCAAATCAGACAAGGTCTCAGCACTAAGACCGGGAAGTGGAAACAGGCTGCCACCCCTAATCAAGAAGCTATCTGCAATTAATACCCACTGACAAACAGAAAATTAGTTTAGGAGTCTCACTGGCTATATTAACCACATGTCAGGGTAGGCCTGAAGCCCAGTAGTAGTTAACCAAGACAAAAATAAATCAATGGTATTTTTATAGAAATGGTTTCTTCTCCTTTTTCTTTCTTTTCCTTTTTTTTTTTTTTTTTTTTTTTGTGAAAGTTGAAACAGAATAAATAAGAACAGAGAGCACCAATATTATCGGGATGTAAAACACATTAACTCTAATCATACATTAAAAACTTTCTAGGGGGTGGGGAGATGGCTGAATGTTTGTCCTAACACTATGAGAATCTGAGTTTGAATCTGTAGCACTGGGTAGGGTGTGGTGGTCCAACTGTGATCCTAGCATGTAGGAAGCAGAGACAGAAGAAGCCTGGGGCAAGCTGGCTATCCAAACTAGCTGAACTGGTGAAGTCTAAGCTCAGATCGTAACTACGTTATGTAAGGTGGAGGGTGACTAGGAAAACACCCCACATCAACTTCTGCCATCTATTAAAATACCCAGTGCTAAAAGAATGCACCCAGATACACATGTTTACCTCTTCACAAAAGACTTCACCAAACTCTTCTGTTTCTAGACAGAAACACCTAAACAGATAATGTCTTATACATGACAAAAATCATTACACTAATACTTATACAAACTTACCTTATTATTGCAAACATGGAATTGAAGTTCTTGCATTCTCGGCAATGAAGGGCAATTTTAATAAAATGTTTAATAATCTTCATTCTTTTGAGCTGATTTGATTCACTTAAAATCTCTGAGGCAACCCAGAATGTCTCTTGGTTTACAGTGTCCTCAAATTGTTTCAAGTGAGTATTTCCTGTTTTGGAATCTAACTTAAAAAGATCATCAATATATTCAGTAGGCTCAATATTACGAAATAAATCAAAGTCCCTCATTGACAGCTGAGTGGCAATCTCAATGGTGCTAAGCTGCAGCATGGACAGCTGGCTTTCCTTAAGTAGTTCCTGGGCATCTTCATCAGAACACAATGTTTCTGTTTCCATGTTATTTTTTAGGTAATATCTAAATGGGAAGAAAATTGTAAGTGTGATCATGAACAGATTTCATTTAATCAGAATACTTTCTTGATTTATGTTGTTTCCTAATATTCCATTTTATGTGTAGCTTTTTGTTAAAACATTAAAATATTCACTTAGAGATGAAACAAGAAAATACTTTAAAAGACATCTTGAAAAGTCCTACTTTTTGCCATCTGACTGCAAAAAAAAAAAAAATACTGATGAAAATTAGCTTGAAGTCAGTCATTTAAGAAACTACTCATATGTGTGAACCATTGTGTGTTGTCCTGAGAATAAAAACTCTACAGGGCAAAGTCAGGATCTTCTCTGAAGTTGTTCATCTCCAGTTCTTTGGGGGCAGTGATGGGAAACTAACACAGAAAACTTGTGCTAGACAAGTGGGGGTCACTGCTGTAGCTAAACCTTAACAAATGGTTACTAGGCTTTTGGAAATGGTTGTTGGGAGGAGGAGTCCTAGAATGTCCTAAGTACAGCTCAATGGCCTACTTTTGTTGGAACTCTGAAGAGCAGAATGTCAAGAGAACTTTTAGATGGACAACTGGATTAGAGGTTGCCTATGTTACATTCTGGCAGAAAAATTCACGCTTGATAAAATATCCAGGCTTCATGTTTACAGTGAGAATTGGGAAAAAAGCAAGAGTAAAAACACTTTCAGTTTCAACAGCAAAGCCTGTGTGAAGGAAGGTGTGCTTTAAAAAGATCAGCGCCATTTACAGCAGTGCTTCCCAGCCTTCCCAATGCTGCAACACTTTAACACAGGTCCTTGTTTTGTTGTGACCCCCAACCATGAAATTATTTTGTTACTCCATAACTGTAACTTTGGTAATGTAAATATCTGATATGTGACCCCGGTGAAAGGGTCATTCAACCCTCAAAGGGGTTGTTACCAATGGGTTGAGAACCACTGATTAAAGGAAAGAAAGTGTTTTTCATCAGGATGACAGGGAACTGTCTTAAGGGCTTATCAGGACATGGTCAGACCTTTCTTGTAGCAGCTAAAAGAACATGAACTTGTAAATGTATTTAAAAGAAATTTCTGGCTACACAGGCCTCTATGTAGACCAGGCTAGCCTCAAACTTACAAAGATCTATACCAGATTCAGTCTCCCGAATTCTGGAATTAAAGATTTGCACCATCATATCCAGTGGCACAGGCCTCTAATTCCAGTTACTTGGGAGTCTGAGACAGATTCTACCAAGGTGCGCTTGGACAACTTAGTGAGATCCTGCTGCAAAATAAATTAATACATAAATTAAGGTGGGGGGATTGGACAGTTCTGCAGTGGATGTCTTAGCTTGTAAGAGGCTTGTAGGTTCAATTGCCAGTACTTACACAACAAATACAAAATATATTAAGTGTAAAACTTCCTTTTGAAAAGAACCACCTGTTTTCTCTGTCTTCTGATGTCTATCTCATTTGCCTTTCTGAAGAGGTCCAACAGAACCAAAAAATCTAGGTGCAGGGGTCTTTTCTGAAACTGATACTCCAACCAAGGACCATGCATGGCAATAGCCTAGAATCCCTGCATAGATGTTGCTCATGGCAACTCAGTCTCCAAGTAGGTTCCCCAGTAAGGGGAACAGGGGCTGTCTCTGACATGAACTCAGTGGCTGGCTCTTTGATCACCTCCCCCTGAGGGAAGGGGGGCAGCCTTACCAGGCCACAGAGGAAGACAATGCAGCCAGTCTTGATGAGACCTAATAGGCTAGGGTCAGATGGAAGGGGAGGAGGACCTCCCCTATCAGTGGACTGGGAAAAGAGAAAGGGAGGGTTGGATTGGAAGGGGATAAGGGAGAGGTCTACAGCTGGGATACAAAGTGAATAAACTGGAATAAAAAGTAAAAATTAAAAAAAAAAAAAGGAGCCACCTGGATCCCTATTAGCATAGTGCAACTAAATGCATTGAATCCCAGAACTGACTTTATCATGCTCAACCATCTAGCCACTCATAAGCCATGCGTCTAGAGTCTAAAGGAGCTTGCTATTGTTTAGCCTAGCAGCACACTGTGGCACTGTCTATGTGATAATGCTTTTGTAGCACGTAGACTGAAAGAGTTTTTTGCCATGGGGGCTTCTACCAATATTTTCCAAAGAAAGGCCAGGGAAATTAGGCAATGTGTGGTAGTGTTAAGACTGTAGCAGTCAGCCTCTGGGCAGGTGTGACAAGTAAAATTTAAAGTTAAGACGAAGATACAATGGAGACTCTAAGATGCTGGAGACGCCATCAATGTAGAATGTCTGACAAGCCAAGCAAAGACAAAAACAAGTAGAGATAGTTCAAGAAGCCATAAAGGCGGGTCTTCACAAGACAAGAGAATGATTCCATGTGCCCCAGATGCAGGCATGGATCTATAAGATTTAATCTTTGCCTTAATGGATTTCTGTCTTGTTTTGATTTTACTGGTTCTTTCTATTCTGTTTCTCTCACTTGGAATGGAAATGTTTATCTGATATCATTTTCTTTTTTGGTTTTTTTGAGACAGGGTTTCTGTGTGTAGCCCTGGCTGTCCTGGAACTCCCTTTGTACACCAGGCTAGTCTCAAACTCACAGAGATCTACCTGCCTCTGCCTCCTGAGTACTGGGATTAAAGGCATGTGCTACCACTGGCTATTTCTCTCTCTTTTTTTTTAATTCTTCAAGGTTCACAGCTAAGATAGTTTGTCCTGAATCTTAGAACAGACTTCAGACTTGGGCATGACAAATTGAGTGAAACAAGTTGGAGCGATTAAGATTCTGAAGATTCTTAATGATGGGTTATGTTTTGCTTTTGAGATTGCATGAACCTTTAGGAACCAGGGTATAATGTTATGGTTTGAATACGAAATGTCTCACATGGGTTCAGGTGGAAGGCGGTGCACAACTTGTAAGAAGGCTAGGCTGGAGAAAGCAGGCCACTAGGTCATACTTCTGAAGGTTATACCTAGTCCCTAGTCTTATTCTCTCTCTCCTTCCTGTCTGCCTCTGCGCTGCTACACACTCCCTGCCATGATGGACCGTGAACAAAAAATCCTTTCTCTATGAAGTTGTTCCTGCCAGGTATTTTGTGAAAGCAATGAAAAATTAATACAGTAACTGATGTATGGGTACTATCAGATGAATATTTGTTCATGGAGAATATAATTTCTAACTGGCAAAAAAAAAAAAAAAAAAGCACATACAATAAGACTTGCTTTCCTCTTTATTCGGTAGCTGCTACTGGACCCATTTCATCCTTCCCTTCTGCCTGACACTTTTTTTTTTTTTTAAATTTAAAGACTTTTTTACTTATTATTATTTATACATTATTCTGGTTGCATGTGAGCCTGCATGCCAGAAGGCGGCACAGGATCTCATTATAGATGATTGTGAAATAGCAGGCGGTTGCTGGAATTGAACTCAGGATCTTTGGAAGAATAGCTAGTGCTCTTAACCTCTGAGCCATCTCTCCTGACCCCTGTATGACACTTTCAAGTGAGACATGGAAAAGTAGATCTCTAGCTAGAAGCTATTCTTAGAGTTTTCTCTGTATTAAATACATTTTGCATCTCAGCAAGTGGTATGCAATCAATCCTTGTACAAAAGACATCCATTTCCTGTTCTCTTTAGAACAGAACCTCTATGGTTCTTAATAACTAGAGGCACACCTCAAATATTTACAGCTGGCATTGATTATACAGGGTTGTTCCGTCTCAGCTCTTTATGGTAGCATTTAAGGACCCAAGATTCTATAATTATAGAGACAAAATTATAATTATAGAGACAAAAACTAAAAAAGAGAAATTCCACTTCAATCTTTAAACTATGTAGCAAAGAAGTATGCTGTTTCTACATAAAACACTCGTTTTGGGAATCCTCAAATTGCATTCTGCATATTCAGAAATAAGCTCATTCACCTTCCATTGAGTTGAATTCTATCAGCTAATTTGGAGAACTGGTCTGGAAGTCTTCTCTGCTTTATGACACCCTCAGGAGTAACAGAAACTTCACAGAGAGAGTATGTGTCAGATGCACCAGTCAAACCAAATTCCTGAACAGCTTGGCAGACCACTTCTTTAGCTGTAGTGTCTTTACTGATGATAATGTAGCAACTTTGTTGATCTGCTTTGAAAACTCTTATAACTTGATCAGGAATATCTATATAAACAAAAAGATAAACCTTATTAATTAAAAAAGTAACAGTTAAACACCCCGCAAAGCAACCGGGAGTACAAGGATTCTTCTAAACATTGGAATATACGTATCTATTCCACACAGGATATGATAAAAATGTATCCACTTTCTTCAGATGAAAAATACTAATAGAAGTTCACAAGGGTAAAAATTGTGATAATACAATTTGGAAAACATTTTTCATTTAACATAAACATTTTGATGTTGTTATTCCTCAATAAAGCTATTTATATTATTTAAAATAAAAAAGAAGTATATGGATGTTTCTGCCTGCATGTATGTTTGTGTTTCACATGTATGTCTAGTGCCTGCAGAAGCCAGAAGAGAATACTGGATTCCCTGTGACTAGAGTTATATGGTCGTGAGCTATGGCTGGGTCCTCTGGAAGAGCAGTCAGTGCTCAAGCTGTATTTATTTATTTTTACCGAGGAGGAATATCAGTCCACATGTCTGAGTATGAGTGCATGTGCACAAGTGCAAGTGCTATGGCGCCTAGACGCACTGATGTCCTTACAGACAACCAACATGGGATCAGCATTGTCTATCATGACAAAGACTATGCTACAGACTCCTCCTTAGTGACGACTCTCAAAAAGCCTTTGAAAAGGTATGTGTATTTTCCAGGGCTTTACAACAGTTTTCGATCTTCCCTCAGAGGTTATGTTTTATAATCCTAGAATGTGAGAGAGGAAATTTGGTCATGTCTCTATTAAAACTGTTTATAACCTTATAGTTTTGTCTTGCTGCCTATTTTGAAAGGCTTTTCTTGTTTTTGTTTTGCTTTCTCCTTTTCCTGTTTTTGATTTTTCAAGACAGGGTTTCTCTGTGTAGCCTTGGCTGTCCTGGATTTGCTTTGTAGACCAGGCTGGCCTCAAACTCAAAGAGATCCTCGTGCCTCTGCCTCCTTGAGCACTGGGATTACAGGTGTGCAGCACTGTACCTGGCGAAAGGCTATTCTTTTTGTCTTCAGTACTTTATTTTTTTGAGACAGGGTTTCTCTGTATTATTGGTGGTTCTAGAGCCTGCTATATAGACCAGGCTGGCCTTAGACTTACAGATAATCTCCTGCCTCTAACTCCTGAGTGCCAGGGTTAAAGGCATACACTATTACATCTGGCTTCCAATATTTTTTTGGCAACACCTGTGTTTCTTCCTACTGAGTCATATTAAGATACTAAAACTTACTCTACCAGAACTGGCAATAATTTTCCTAGCTTTTATTGCTCTTTTTTTTTTTTGGGGGGGGGGGGCGTTACACATTATTTGTGTTTTTATGTGTGTCTGAGTTTGTATGACTGTGCGTGCAGAGGCAAGAGGCTGACATTAGGTATCTTCTTCAATGGTTCTCCACCTGTGTTATGAGATAGGGTTGTTCACTGAACCGCGAGCCCCTTGATTCCACTGGTTGATTACTCTCTACTTCTCCAGCCCTGAGATGACTGGTAATCGGTGTGCACGGCAGCAGCAACCCGATTTTGTTGCTTTTGTTATTTTGCTTTTTGGTAAACATGAATGTTAGGTATTAAACTCGGGTCCTCTTGCTTGAAAAACAAAAACTTCACCTACTGAGTCATCTCTTCTGCAGCCCATTTTCTCAGTTTTATATTAAATTTATTTTAAAGAGGAAAGTGTTTAAATGTCTATATGGTTAAACACCTCAATCTTTGTTCTGTGATTTTGTTACTAGCAAATAAATTCTACCTAAGATAAGTTCATATTTTCATCTGTCTTATTTTTCTTGTAAGGGAAGAGTTCATACCTCTAAAACAATGCTTACTGCAATAGGACACTAAGGAAGTGAACAGTGACATGACAGTAAAAACAAATACTGTTTCCATATGAAAATAAATTGTATTTACAAACAGGAGTATTTATTGCTGTGATTTGTAATGATGGCAGCAAGTAACTTTATTCTGTTGGTTCAGCATTTTCTCTTAGCACTATATGTACTATCAGTTAAAAAAAAGTAATCTGTCTCAAAAAGGAAAGATGAGAATAATAGAACAGGCATAACTGCAAGTAATTCCACAGAATAAAGTAACTCTGTGCCCTCACATTTGAAATTGAGAACACAGAAAGAAACTGCTCCCAGGACTAAAAGATTCAACTGAATTTACATGAATGCAATTCTAATCTGTAGCTCTCGGGTGGGCTGGGTAGAGTTCATGTACTCATTAGTCTCTGTTCTAGAAAGAGGTACCAAGCTGTCTTTCTTTGCATATTTAAAGACCTGAGTCACCAATACTTCTTGTTCATGTTTCTTGCCAATGAATGAATCTCTAACTTGCAGCTAATATAGCACCATCATTCCTGAACTTAGAAAGTTTAATAAGGTTAGATAGTTTTATAATCCACCCAAATTAGGTATGCTTCTCTGTTTACTGCTAGAAGTTACTGTAAGCAGACGGAAGTCTGGTTGTCAGGAGAAAGAGAGTGAGTGAAGGAGTTTCACCATACACTTTCACTCTATAAAAAAGGAATCAAAGAGCACTTGTATTTCCTGTATTGTCCCTGCACTCTTCTTCATGAACTGGGTTCTTTCTAGGCTCCAGAAGTGGATTTCTCTGTTAGAGCTTGTTTGGAGGCTAAGCCTCAACAAGTGGTTCTGGCTGACCTGGAGGGAATGGCAAAACATCTATTCCTTTATTATCATCTTTAGGGGAATATATCCACAGACAAGGTGGGGATTTGCACAACAAGTTCACTCTCTTTCTCTATGTTTTAACATCAGAGTTGTGTATCTTGAACAAGGCTAAAAAGCGGTACCTTCTAAAGCTATTTGTTCCTCAGGCAAAGAACAAATTGTTCCATAGACACAAAACACAAAATCTATTTTAGAATCACTGTATGTACATTACTAATAAACATACTGCCAGATAAAGAATAATATACAGGGCCAAACATAAATATTTGGCTCATGACAGATTACAAATGCTAATAAATTAGATTAATAATAAACATGAGATTAAAAGAATCAAGAAGAAAAAAATATATAACACCTCAAATTCTAATAAATTAGATTAATAATAAACATGAGATTAAAAGAATCAAGAAGAAAAAAATATATAACACCTCAAATTCTAGTCATGAAGCAAAAATGCATACACAAAAGACTCCTTTAAAAGAAAAAATATTTTTGGGTGGTACTGGTATGGAACCCAGGGCTTTTATACATGTTAGGCAAGAGTTCTGTTACTAGGCCAACATTGCAGTATTTATTAGCACAGAGATTCATATTTTGGACATATACTTGTATTTGTTTATTTATTTTGTGTGAATGGTGTGTGGGTGGAGCAGCATATACATGCCATAGTACTTATTTGGAAGTCAGAGGACAAAATTGGGGAGGTTAGTCTCTCTCCTTCTACCATGTGGGTTGCATGGTCAGAATTCAGGTGGGCAAGCTTAGTGGCAAGTATGCCCTTACCTGCTGAGCCATCTCATTAGCCCTCAGATCTTATTCATTCATTTTATTGACTGACTGTAGCCCTGGCTATCCTAGAACTCACTCTGCAGAGCAGGCTGGCCTTGACTCACAGAGATCCTCCTGCCTATCTCCTGAGTGCTGGGATTATAGGTGTGGGTCATGCATGGCTTCAGATTTTATTTTAAGAAATCAAATTAGATAAATGAGACCAACAGAAACTCCAGATATCTGGATTTTTAAGCTAAAAACACATATCTGGAGTGCTAACTTAATTTAATCCTTTTTTGGTTTTTCTTTACCTCAGACAGGGTTTCTGTGTATCCCTGACTGTCCAGGAACTCACAGACACCCATCTGCCTCTGCTTTCTGAGTACTGGGATTAAAGGTGTGGGTTACCACCACCAAGTTTTTTTTTTTTTTCCTTCTTCTTTTTCCATTTTTCTCCTTTTTCTTTGAGAGGCAGGTTTTCTCTGTGTAGCCCTGGCTACTTGGACTAACCTTGAACTCACAGAGATCCATCTGCCTCTGCCTCCAGAGAGCTGGGATTAAAGGCCTGTGCCACCATGCTTGGCTCTTTTTGGTTTTTCAAGACAGGGTTTTCTGTGTACCATTCCTGGCTGTCCTGGAACTCACTTTGTAGACTAGGTTGGCCTTAAACTCAGTGATCTGCCTGCTTCCTGAGTGAGGAGATTAAAGGCATACACCACCACATCTGGCCCTTAATTTATTCTTAAAGATTTATTTATTTATTCACTTGTGTGTGTGTGTGCCTGACTGTATGAATGAACAACACGTTTGAGCAGTGCCTTTGGATCTCATGAAACTGACTCTGGATCTCTTGAAAATTAGTAACTTTGATTCAGCATGTGTAAAATAAAAAAATACTTTATGGAAGCTGGGTCTGGTGGTGCATGCCTTTAATTAATACTAGTGCTTGGAAGGCAGAGGCAGGTGGGTCTGAGTGAGGGCAGCCTAGTTTATATAGCAAGTTCCAGGACAGCCTGTCTCAAAAATAAAACATTTTAAGGATGTACTGATCTTGAGATTACACTAAAGATGGGATAATAGTTCAGGTTATAAGGGTCTGCTTTAAGTTTTTCCTTGCTGAACTGACATTTTTGAGAAGCACTTGTGTATCCAGTGTTCCAGGAGATGAAAATGCAGTAATAAAAAGATAGACAAGTCTTTGACCTGAGGGAATTCACTAATATTCAAGAGAGTGAGAAGTAAGTAGGACAGCCCATGAAGTGACTAGGGCATATGTGTACACACACACACACACACACACACACACACACACACACACACACCCCTACCCCTTAAAGGTAATGGTAGACTAGAAAAGATCAAGAACTGTCATATATGCCCTAGTCATATCAAGGGTTAAACAATGAGTATTTTACTTTTTTTAAACGTACTTATACAATGTTGGCAAAGTTTAAAATGTAATAACAACGGGTGGGAATCTACGAACACAAAGACTCAGCAAAACATAAATTTCCAAGATTGGGGACTAGTTAAAAGAATTTTACTAATTCATTAAACAATGTTAGCAGAACATTACACCCAGATACACAAATATTTAAGGTACTCTGAAAAGATCTAAGTAAATTATTCATTGCAAAATCAGGTGCAGAGACACTTATACTTACTGTTTCTCTAAAATTTTACTTAAAAGACGCTGAATGCATAAAGAATTAAGTTTGCTACATCAAATAAATAAATAGGGTTTCTGTTACTAAAGGAAAAAAAGCAAAAAGAGCTCTGTATGTAAACTCAAGGGGAAAAATCAGATTCAAAATCTATATAGCTACACTGATTTTTTTTGGTGGGTGGGGAGGGGGAGACTGGGTTTTATGTAGCGCAGACTGGCCTCAAACTTGACATGTAGACGAGGATGATCTTGAACTTCGGATCTACCACATAACTGCTGGGATCACAAGCCTGCGCCACCATGACTGCAATGAAAGCTTCAGAAATTGAACTCAGGCCTTCTAAATGCTAAGTGACCACTTAATAACTGAGCTACATTCTCAGTGCCACTCTGAATTCTTGAAGCTTCAACTTATGGTAGATTAAAAAAAAAATACTTCCACAAGCATTCCATGACATGTTTACCAACACACATACACTAAATATAAGAAAAATAAAATTTCAAAAAAACTTCATAAGTTGTTAAGTAGCATATATATTCTGACTCTACATGAAAACAAACTTAAATAGTCAAGAAAAATAACTAAAAGGATGCATGCCAATGATCTCTACCTCATGAGAGCAAAGAGAATTCTGCTTTTTACCTATTTTACTGAGTTCTCTATCACATCATCTTTTTGAACATAACAAACTACACATAAAAGACAAAAGAATACCAAGATACTTACAGTAAAAACCAACAGCTGTAGGCAGCAAAAATAAAACAAATTTACAAAAAGTCAGCAATCAAATTAAACTACTGAGTAGTTCTGCAGCTTTGCCTGCTGTGATTTTGATACAGTAAGAACTTAGGCATGCAGACACAACATAGCTGAGTTCGACTGACAAACATCAATTAATGCTGGCTAACAACAGAAGGTCACTGCAAATAAATGGTTATGCAGAGTAAATTTTAGCACTACTGGTAAATATAAGAAGCTGAATTTGGAACTAATAATAACTTTTCCAACAAAATACCAACCTATTATTAGATAGGTTTTTCACAGAGCTGTAATATGGGTGGGTCTCTGACAGGTGTGTCTAGCTCTATCACTGACATATGCACATGCTGCAGTTTCAGCCACTGAAGCCTTTATCTGAGCAGTTTTTAAAAAGCATCTCTGAGTACTGCTGAGACGTTTTCAAGCAGAGACCTGTGAAACCAACTGAGAGCAATTTGAGAAGCACCTGCTCCTCAGGTTGACTCTCAGTTCCACAGGAGGAAATGTCTAAATTTTAATCATTTCAACCTCTCCTTCTCCCTCCCTCTTTGACTCGCCTTTTACCACACCTCTCTCTTCTTTCACTTAAGTCATTCTTTATTCATCACTTCCCAATTACTTACTCATTTGTTTATTTTTGTCTGTATGCATGCATGTGGAGATTAGGACAGCATGCAGGGGTCAGCTCTCTCCTATCACATGAGGTCCAGGGACCAAATTCTCATTGTTAGACTTGGCGGCAAATGCCTCAACTTGCTGAGGCATTGTGTTGGCCTATCTCCAACTCTAGTATCTATAAATGCTTAGGCTATCAATACAGTCATACAAATCAGTAAATCCATAAAATCCATATGCCCTTTCTGAATAATTGCTTTCATAAAAACCATGTATTTATATTTAAGGCTGTGCTCTGGTAGTGTAAAAATCTTTTATTTGTGAATCTTCTATGGAATGTAAGAAATACCATTGTAGAACACATACACAGAGAAACAGATTTTAATTATACTCCATGATGAACATGAGAAGTCATGAAAATGTGCTGAAAGTGATAACGATAGCAGGGAAATCTAGGCTTGAGCATTACAGAGTAGGAGCACTAAGAATAACACTGAGGATTAAGAAACAGCTCACTGGATATGAGAAGAGAACCTACAGGTGGCAAAGTACACGGAGACAGAATCTTAAAGCACACGCCACCTTCAAGAAATGGTGAAGCAACAGGTAGTCTGAACAGGCAGCTAGAGAGAAGGTTCAACCCCAAAAAACTTCCTCAACCTGACATAGATGTTTCTTATCACAGAAATGAGGCCAGCATGCTGTTTTCATGCCTCTGAAACTCCTTAAAGCTTACTTTTTCTGAAAACAAATTCTTCATTTTACATAACGGCAATGAATTTTGCACTTATTTATGATTTCTGTCTCATGACAGAACCCTCACTAATACAGGAACTGCTAGAAGTCAAGCAAAGCAACCATTCCACTAAAATTTTTGCTCTACAGTCCTGTCCGCCCTACAGAAAGAAGGATGTGTAACATCAGCTTGCTGAGTGTAGTAACTCTAGCATCAGGGAACAGAAAGAAACAATATATACAAATATTTTCACAAGTCTGTGTGTTTATGTCAAAGCTTGGAGTTTTTATTGTTATTTTTTTAAAAAAAAAAACCCACAAGAAATAATGTACAGTACAACCTTCAGTAAATGCTGTGTTGAAGAGTTTTTATTTAAGTTGCTGTAAGAAAACACAGACTTTACTAATACACTTCTATTTTCTTTCTGGTACCGAAATGTTTGTGAATGATACTCCTTCCTCTGCATTAGAACTGAAAACTTACGATGAGTCAGAAATACTCTGAGGGATCATTTCCCCAGTCCTACCTTGGATTCAACTACATACTCAGTTTTTAATTTTGTCTTTTCTTGAAAGACATTTCACATCTTTTAAAGTGATGTGTATATAATCAGTTCCTTATAATGAAATTTTAGATCAGTTATGTGACATCTTATGCCTCTGGGCACCAATACATGTAGAAAACAACTTGATGTTCCATCCTGAAAATCATTAGCAGTGAAAACAATGCCTTATTCTGATAATAATTCCTGACTAAAACAAACACAAAACCCCAAACCAAAACACCCCGAAATAACAACTTGGCTTCAGATGCTGAAAAAAAAAAAATTAGTTTTTGAAAATTACTAAGACATTTTAATATTTAGATATCTGAAGACAATCTGCATTAATTCATTTTCACAGTCTGTTTATGCCATCACTCAGCAATTTTGGAAAATACCACTGAGGTTCTTTTATTATTAACTTTCAATTTTGAAGGAAGTAGCCAGTCCTGCTTAGGGTAAAAAAAAAAAAACAAAAAACAAAAAACAAAAAACAAAAACGAGATGGTTCAGTGGTTAAGAGCACTGTCTGCTCTTCCATGCTCTTTCAAAGAACCTGGGTTCAATTCCCAACACCCACATGGAAGCTTACAACTATTTGTAATGCTCATTCTAAGAGATGTGACACCTTCACACTAATGCACATAAAATAAAATTAAATAAATTAAAAAAGAGGTGAAAACTGCATGTTAACCCACTTGCTCAAGGCTCAAGAGATTGTATATTAAGTATCAATCTAGTCATATGAAGTCACATGGAAACATTACCTGTGGGATTGGAAAAGTCCAACATGCTGGTGGTAGGCTGCAAGAGATCTGGGCTGCTGGATGAGAGCGTTCCAGGAATTGGCATTATAGCCAGGCTGTGTCTACAGTGCCTGGTTCCCACAATACTGTCATCTTGAGATTGGCTCAGGCCTCCGTCACTTCAAAAGAAAGGCATATATTATTTTCAAGTATTAGAAGGCACTTACATAGCAAACAGTTTGACTTCCTATGTATAAAGGCATAACAGTAACAATTACAATTCAGTGTGATGATTTAACCAGTCAGATTAAAACATCTCCAAAAAGAGTAACCAAAAAGAGTAATTATAATGAAGAAATAGCAATGAAATATTTTTGAACATCACATTAAAATGAAATATAAACAGAAGTAATTCTACTATATCACAAATAATGTTGGATTTGCTTCCTGTGGTTTTGGTAAAAAAACTCAATCTGAATGTTTAGGGACTGCTTGAAATTTGCTAGTCTCAAATTTCAAATCTATTTCCTGAGCTATACATAGCCACACCACAGGAAGTGTCCTCTCCAAACACATGATAATCACAAGATGGCACAACTCAGTAGCAGTTAGTTCTCTTTTAAGGTTTCAAAACACATATTAACTAAAAAAACAAAACAAAACAAAACAAAACAAAAACCCCAAAAACCACAACCATTTTCTAGGGCAACAAGAAACTCTTCCGTTAAAACGCTTATAACTGTTACACAGGTCACTATAAAATCACTGTAAGGAAAAGCATAAACACTGTCAGTTAAACTTTCCCAAATATTAGTTTAATTATGAAGTTGGAAAAGATTTTAGCATCACCAATGACTAAAATAAGAGTTCTTGCCCTAAACTGACTTACGTTTAAATGTTTTCTTTAGTATCTGTTCCCATCTAAATTTTATTCAGCACAGCCTTCTGTTTTGTTGTTATACAGAGGTATCACAGAACACTTACCTATTACCAAGAAAAAGATTAAACTAGAACCTAAAAAATGAGTGAGGTGATATGGAATATATTTATAATATATTAAAGCAAAATATAGCATTTAAGCAGACTGAAATGAAGCAAGACGGAGAGTAACGAACTGTTAATTGCAAGAAAAGAAAAACAACCAGGACAAGAGAGAGCTGCATAGTCAGGAAGGCATGAAGGTGTGGCATGGGAAGAAACACACTGTGAGGGCGGACAGACTGTTTATTATTATTAGCTGGTTGTCTTGGGTGAATTCCTTTCTCTAGCTGGCCATTCGTTAAAGGACTACTACAAGAACTAAGTCAGCCCAAGTAGGCGAAAAATGTATTCTTATTTTTATGAAGAGAGTCAAGTGCTTTTACCAAATTAAAATGAGAACAATTCAAACCTACAGAAGAGGAGTATTTATTTTAATTGACATTGAAAGTAGAGGCACAACAATGCAACTGATCTGAACAACGGCATTTATCCCCAGGAAGAAACTTCAATCTACTCTTGTGAAAATAAAGGCTTTTTCTGCTAAGTAATCTGTGCTTATCCTAAACCAGTTCTCTACAACTTGGTTGCTGCTATAACAAAGATTTTAAGATTAACTGAGAAGAGAAAAGAAATGCTGTTAAATATTTAAATCATTAAAAGTATAAAGATCTATTTTTAAACAATAGTCTTTCTCTAAATGATTTCTGAAAACTATAAATTTTTGGATTCATAATGTCAGGTAACCAAATCCAAGGAAACAAACCTTTAAAGAGGTAACCTCTCACTAACAAAACAGAACTAAAGTTAGATTTATTTTTTTGTACAGGGTCTCATGTAGCCTTGACCAACCTTCAATATTCTATATGGTGAGGATAACCTTGAATGCCTGATTCTCTGGTCTCCACCTCCAAAGTGTTGGTATTCTATGGCTGGGTAAGCACTTTGCCAATTAAGCCATGTCCCTAGCCCAAAGTCAGACTTTTTTGTTACATGGAATTCACAATAGAGACAAGGTTCACAGAATATTAAAAATTCTTAATATTTACTATTATCACTGATACCACTTAAACATTAATTCTGCTTTTTAATAATTAACAGATATAATGCTATCTAGCTATACTCATATAAAGTAGGCTACAAATTCATGGTAATTAGGGAGTGAGCATGTAGACATGAAAACTCTGTCATGCACAATTGAAGCTATGACAGAAATGAAAAAATTGGCAAAAAAAAAAAATCCATGCTTAAAGTTGAACGGAGAAAAGCCTATTTGAGAAATAATTGTCATTTCTTACCAAAACAGTCTCCTGAGAGGTGATGCAGTAACAGAAACAAGACATTTTTGAAAAATTCCTCAATAATTAGTTCCCTGACACTACATTTATTTAGAATAAATGTAATGAGTTTCATTATGAAACCAAAGAGGGTACGAAATAAACCCATCATTAACAGCAAACAAAAAATACACTGACATCTAGAGAGAAAAAATTGTTTGTTCTTGATGCACAAAACAAAGCAGTGTATTTCTAGGAAGATAACTGTGATGTTACTTGGGCAACTGTGATCTAAGATGAAATTAAAGCTGAGTGATCTAAAAAAGGAGAAATCTGATTTCCTGAACTGTAATGACAGCTAATGAAAGCCACACATACTTTTATGTCATACGATGTTTTACAGATGTTACTCAGTCACTCATATCAATAATTTATTTTCATTTAAATTTTTAAGAACAATTTTCCATTTTACTATTACTATTATTATTAGGTTTTTGGAGACGGGGTTTCTCTGTGTAGCCTTTGCTATCCTGGACTCGCTTTGTAGTATGTAATTGTTTGGGATTTAAGAGTTATTGAAAAAAAAAGTTATTGACTTTAGAAGTATCTACTTTTTTTTACATTCTTTACTTCCTGCTCCCACAGATATTACGACAGCTCCCCTGCTCCTTAGAGGGTATGTGAGGAGAAGTAGTATCTGTCTTCCATTCCTTTCCTAAGAAGTCTCGGCTCATAGGAGATATTCAGATATTACAGAATCAATATTTATTATTTAATTATTATAGAATTAAAATCATTATATTGTTTTGTTTTTTTTGAGACAGGATTTTTCAATGTAACAGCCCTGGCTATCCTGGAACTCACTCTGTAGAGCAGGCTGGCCTCAAACTCAGATGTGCCTGCTTTCCAAGTGCTGGGATTAAAGGCGTGTGCAGCCGCCGCCACCACCACCTGGCAAAATTACTTAAATTGTAAGTTCAATTAAAATAATTGAAAGAAATACTTAAAGTAGGAAAACTGGAAGATACAGGGGGGAAAAAAGGGAAAACTTTTGTGCTTTCTATATAAAAAACAAACAAAACCCAAAGCAGAACATTTATCCTTCTTGTTAATTTTTGTGTTGAACATACTTTAGCTAACCAAACTCTTGGACTTTTGGTGTATTTCTAGCTCTTGTGATGCTGAAGCAGGAGGATCACTTAACCATAGGAGCTTGAGGCCAGCATGGACAACACAGCAGGGATATCATCCTCATGATCATCATCATCACCATGAGCGTCGTCATCAACATCAACGAGATCCATGGAAAGGGTGTTACATCCTTGGATAAACATCTATACCGATCACCTGAACTCGTGTTCTCTACCTGTTATCTACTGATATCACAGTGATCTTTTCCCCCATAAATGATTTTTAAGAGTTCAGAAAGAGTGAATCTCTGTAGTAGTCTGAATGAGTATGTTCCTGTTAGGCTCAACGACTTGAACACTTTTTTCCCAGTTGGCAGTAAAGCTCAGATAGTGCAGGCTTGCCGGAGAAAATAGGTCACTGGGAGGAGACTTTGGGTGTTTACAGTCTCATTTCATTTCCTGTTTGCATTCTCTGTAAAATGGGCAATCTTCTGGTGAGTTTCTGGATGCTAGGCTTGTAGCATATCTCCACATCTAGCTGGATAGTACACTTTTGCAAAAACAAGAACAAACAGAAAGAAAGAAAAAAGAAAGAGAAGGAAGGACGAAAGAAAGGAAGAAAGAAAGCAAGGAAGGAAATAAGAAAGAAGAAAAGAAAGAAAAGCAAGTAAGCTCATTTGCTAGATGTGGTGGTGCCTATCTGTACTTCTAGCACTGGGAAGAATAGGCAAGAGGGCTGAAGAGTTTACAAACATAAATTCAAAAGATAAGCAAGCACAGCAGGGAATCTTATGAAAGAAGGGAAGATACTAAGGGGGAGAGGACAGGAGCTCCACAAGGAGAGCAACAGAACCAAAAAATCTGGGCCCAGAGGTCTTTTCTGAGACTGACACTCCAAGGACCCTTCATGAAGATAACCTAGAACCCCTGCACAGATGTAGCCCATGGCAGTTCGGTGTCCAAGTGGGTTCTATAGTAATGGGAACAGGGACTGTCTCTGACATGAACTGATTGGCCTCCTCTTTGATCACCTCCCCCTGAGGGGGAAGCAGCCTTACCAGGTCACTGAAGAAGACAATGCAGCCACTCCTGATGAGAAATGATAGACTAGGATTCAGAGGGAGGGGGAGGAGGACCTCCCCTATCAGTGGACTTAGGGAGGGACATGGGTGGAGAAGGGGGAAAGGA